TTAGTAAATATTGCAATGTTCATTATAACTGTATAATATCAAAATCATATTTATTAGTGTAAATAATGTCTTTTTTTTAAAAAAATTTTTGTTATAAGTTAATATCAGAAAAATTATTTTTATGTTTTTTTTTTTTTTATAAAACTGGAGCCTAATCAATTTAATTAGCATATTGCTTTTTATAAAAAAATCTTATCGTTACTGTATTGGCAAAGATAAATCGAATAAAGTCAAATTAGCCCATATGATATAATTATTAATCTGTTGTATATTAATTCCGGATCTTTATGGGACTACTGTATATCTGATTGTTTAAGAGATATAATGATAATAACTTTCAGCTTAAATAACCTTTTAAGCGTTATTTTATTATCTCCCGAAATAAGAAAAATACGCAATGTTTTGATAATTTTGAAATCATAGTATTTATATTATTATGATCACATCATACATATAATTGTTGTTAGCTCACCCACAAAAAATTTTCCGGAACGTGATTTTTAGCCAATTAGATCGATGGATCGGGTGTAACGTACAAATCAACCACATCTTTAAGTTTTGGATTAAGGCCAAAAGAAGGGCATAGTTTATAACAAAATTTGCAAGGAATTTTTTTGGCTAGAACGCAGAAGGCAATTTGATAGGAAAAAAAAACAAAATTGTGTGATTTACATGTTACACGGATCTTTCGATCTAATTGGCTAAAAATCATGTTCCGGGAGGCTTGGATTTCATAGGGTGACTTTCATATGATTGGTTGTTTAAGTCAATTTAATTTTACATTATTTATACAGTTTAAAGTACTTTTCAAAAAAAAATAACACTACAAAGATTAAATGAAAAAATGTACATAGGAGGTATTATTAGAGTCGTAGGACTCCGCTATTGAAAATGACCAAAATCCCTTTTTGTTTTAGCGAAGTTAGTATTGTAATAACTTAAAAATAGATCTAACAAGATTATTATTATGCTAACTTCTCTAAAACAAAAAGTGATTTCAATAGTGGAGTCCTACAACATTAATGATACCTCCTATGCACTTTTTTTCATTTATTCTTTGTAGTTTTATTTTTTTTGAAAGTATTTTAAACTGTATGAATAATGCAAAATTAAATTGACTTAAACAACCAATCATATGAAAGTCGCCCTATGAGCTTGGATTAGCGTCAGATATCGTTAATCGTTCCTAATTTGGTAGCAGCTTTAGTTATCAAGACGCCTAGAATACAACGAAGCCCTCATCATTGAAACTGTAGTTTCAAAAGCTTAGCGATTTGAGTTTTTTGTATTCTTAAAAATGTATATAACGAGTGCCTTTTCATGCTAATAAAGGGGAAGAACAACAATTCCACGATCTCTTAAACCCTTAAGAACTGAACCCAAATAAACTAGCCTATGAGTTATGATCGGTGCTAAACTGTGCATGTATGTGTATTATGTGTCGATTATTTATTTCTGTCGACTCGGAATTGATATTTGCAATTTACAAATCCAGGAATAACGTATCTCGCTTTGGAATCGGTATATAACTGATAAACGATTATTGTTTTTTTAAAAAAAAAAATATGAAATAAAGCTAATAAAGCTGAATGCGACTCCTTTTCAGGAAAAAATAATTATCTAGCGATTTTTGCATTGGCCTCGTAAGATGCACCCACATCGCCTTGAACATAATAAATTGTTTCTTCTGCACGAGCAAGATTTGGTGCTGCAATTAGTTTTTTTACAACGGCAGCAATCACGAGTTTATTTGCATTTCATCATTAGTACTGAACAAAATTTAATTAATAAAATGATAAAATAAATAAAATATATAAATACATGTAAGTAAAGTTACTCGGAAAAATCATAAGATTCGAAACTTTGCCTTGAAGATTGGATTTGATGCAAATAATTCTGCTTGAGACTCGCTTGCCTTAGTGTAAGTGTTTTATCCAATGAAAAGTATTAAGGTCAGGATAATCGGGTGTGCTAAAGGTGTAAGTTCACTAGCCGGCTACCAGTATTACAGTAATCTAAATTGACAAGCAACTTGATAGGAATCCTGGTTTGGTCTTTTTCTGAATAATTTTACATGGTCCCATGTTCGATTTCCTGATGCGCGCAATTCAAATCACTTGGTAAAAAAAAGTTTTTACTGGACAGATTTGTGTTTCCAAATTATTGTGTTTCCTAATTATTTTCATCATTTTTAAGTAAATAAAGTTCTTCAGTTGCACCAATTCGAAGATTATACATAGCAACCGCATAAAGGGAAAGTCTCCGGACACCTACCAGTTCACGTGATTTTGCACCTACCAAAAAATTAAAGTTTAAGTAATAATTGCTAAATATTTTATTAAGAGAAAGCGAATTTAGCCCTAATTAAAGTTGCAGAGGCCATTATTAAGATTCTAATGGTACCAGAATCGCTAAAATTGGTCCATTGTATCTCGAAATATAAGCATTTAAATCTTCGCGAATATGCAAAAACCTACTGTACCTACCAAATAATCGCGAAGATAAAAATACAGATATCTTGCGATCTACCAAATCAATTTTAGCGATTTTGATTTCATTAGAATTGAATACTCACCTCTAAAACTTTAATTCGAAGAGTGGGAGGGATTTTCTTAGTAAAATATCTGAAAAAATATGTTTTTAATATTTTATAAAATGCAATTTTGCAAGTAATTTTACTAAGTAAATCTTCCTTGTATCTCTAATTAAAGCTTTAGAGATGAGCATTTTAATTCTAATAAAACCAAAATCGCTAAAATTTGTTCAGTATATCAGAGTTATATGTATTTTTATCTTCGCGATTATTTGGTAGGTATAGTAGGTTTTTGCATTTTTGCGAAGGTTTAAATGCTTATATTTCGAGATACAATAGACCAATTTTAGCAATTCTGGTGCCATTAGAATCTTAATAATGGCCTTTGCAACTTTAGTTAGAGGCTAAATTCACTTTCTCTTAATAAAATATTTAGTAATTATTACTTAAACTTTAATTTTATGGTAGGTGGAAAATCATGTGAACTGGTAGGTGTCCGGAGACTTTCCTCTGCATAAAATGTAACTACCCAACAGCACCACCAAAAATTTTTGGTTACACAAGATTTTGGCCAATAAAATTGCATGCACATGATGTAGATCAATACATAAATTTTATTTTTTTAAAAAATTAAACAAAGATACCTCGATACTCACCAAACCAAACCCAATGAAAATTTTTTATATTACTCTATGAATATGCAGAATCAAAATAAAAAATTTTTTTATCGAATTTGGTTTGTTGGTTGTTGAGATATCTTTAATCGCAACTTGAATTTTAATAAACATTTTAATTTATTGGCAAATTTTGAACAAAGATATCTCAACAACTTCAAACAAAATTCGATAAAATTTATTTTATGAATAAATAAAATCAAAAACAAAAAGTTTATCGAATCTGGTTTGTTGATTGTCAAAATATCTTCGTTCAAAATTTAAAAAAAATTTACTATAACTTAAATTTTTGTCATTTTAATTTATTAACAAACTTTGAGAGAATTATTAGAAAATGCCAATTTAATTTCAATGTTTAGTCTGCCTTTTGATTCTAAACTAATGATAATTAAACGCATAAATTTATATACGTTCAATAACATGGTCACATACAATAAATTTAATTAAGTGCCCACCAATTATGTTTTATTTTATATAATACAAGATTATTTTAATCAACTGTCAAAATATTCAATATTTGGGCTTTACAATACTATTTTTTGATTTATTAAAAAATAATAAGAAAATTGTTATGGATACTACATACAAAACAAACGCTTTAGGATATGAGTTGTATTCAGTTATTGGTCACTATGATAGTTCCGGATTTGCACTCGCATATTTGTTTATTGAGAGTCTAAAAAAATGACAGTGCACAGACAGACATTTTAACTTTATTTTTTGGAACTTTATTCAATTTGGGGTTAAAGAATGTTTGTTTTTTTTTTAAATGACAAAGATTTCACACAAATCTCAGCTATGCTAAAAACTTGGTCAAACATCAAAATCCAACTCTGTTATTAGCATCTGAAAAAAACTCTTAAAAAAATTTTGCGGATAATACATATTCAAAGATAATTAATTATAGTTCATCTTCAGCACACCAAACATTTGATTTTATCAACATTGAATTTTATCCAACACCACCATTACAACTAATATTGGCACAAAAAAAAAGCTTTTGCTTTTGTCCTAAAGAGTTGTGCTCTAAGATTATAGATATGATAGAAACTCACATACACCTTCATCCATTAATTCCAAATGCTAGTGGATTTTATTTGTCAGCAAGTGAAATTTGGAAATAATCAACAAACCAAATTTATGAACTTTGTATTAATCATGATTTATGACTTCTTTGAAGTTATTTGTGAGAACACTGGTATCGTAAAGAAATCTGAAATCTGTGGGCCCGTTCTGCATATAATAATATTTGTATATTTTATACTACTATGTTATGTGAATCTCACTGGAAAGTTCTTAAGCAGGATTTCTTACCAAAATTTTTTAGACCACATCTTGATTTATTAACATATGTTATTGTTACTCATTTAATTCCACACTATAGACAACAATATAATAAATATTATTATAAACATAAAATGCCTTCTTGGCAAAAAAACTTAAAAAAGAATGGATAATGTTAAGCAAAAGCAAATTAATCATAATTACATAACTGATGTCAAAAGTAGATTTGTGGATATCAAGGATTTTTAATCAATCGATTTTTTTTATGCAAACATTTAATTCAAGCATCTCAATTTACAATCAATATATCTTTTTTTAAGAATATTCAGTGGCAAGGAGTTTATTCTTTTCTATTTTTATTGTCACAACAAGACTCTAATGCAGATAAATCAAGTTCTTACAAATTAAAACTTGTTTTTTACATATTTGATTTTTGCTTGATAGGATTTACTATTTTATAAATACTAAATATGTTTATTTAAATAGATGATACTATAATTACCAATTCAATGAATGAAGTTCAATCTACCACTACATCTACAACATTAATGCACTCTAATACAGGTTAAAACTTGTTTTAATTTTATTTATTTAAGCAATACTATAATATATATTTACTAATTCAATTGATCATAAAGATAATGAAGTTCAATTGATGTTTACACAATCAATGCATTCTAATATAAATAAATTATATTCTTCTGTATTAAAACTTGAATTTTTGTAACAATTAATATAAAGACTCGAATATGTGCATATATTTTTATTTATTTAAAAATAGACAATATTATGAAAATCGACAATTCAAATAAAATAGTGATAATAAACCAATGCAACTATTTGAAGAATATAAATCTGTACTTCTTAATGCACTTAAAATTGTACAAGAACAAGAAAATGCTAATAATATACAATAGGCACAGTCTGTTCAAGAAAGTTTTAAAGGTATACAAAGTTTAGTAATGGATATTCAATCTTACAAAAGAAGACTAACCAACCCACGTACCTGGAAGGATCATAATCAATATACAATTTTTTTTTTTTTTTAAATATTAAAGTGACAACTTGGGGGTCTGGCACAGTTTATTAACTTCACAGGTCAATTATCAGAATACCGAATAGGCACTCCTTGACTTTGTTACATCAACGAGAGTACAATTGGTCACATGTACAACTTTAGTTATTGCCTAATTAAGGGCTCCACTATATCTATTTCTATCTATAGTTACCCACCAATTGCCATACCTAAAATCTGCTTGTAGATCCTCTATTTAAACCTTCTGATCGACTTAGTGCCTTCAGATGCTTTTCCCAGAAGAATTCCTGCCATTAAGGCCTCTTAGAACTATTTTATCTTTATAATAAACCTACCAGAGCTGTTCATATCTCACACATATATCACCTGGGTTTTTCAGAAACTTATGCCCCAATCTGAGGACTAGAACTTGCAATTTTCTGTATCACTACCATAACCTACTCCTTGCCCTTTACAAGGTTCGTTCTGATCCTGATACCCACTTTCAACTGGCCTTTATACTGATCCCTCTCCAACTACCAAACTAGTTAGCCCAGAAGAGTTGTTGTACCTAGGCTCTAAGTGCCTTCTGGTTTTACTTCCCTTGGTTCCGAATTCTGTAGTATCAGATCTTTTTCTCTGATGCAACTCTAGTAGCCAGGTTGGTGAACCCATCTTGCCCTAGGGTTGTTCGTCCGGTTCTTTGATCTTTGGTTCTGATTTTCTGTAGTATCATCAAAGATCTTCACTACTCCTAGCTCAGGTCTTGCCAAACAGGTTTCAATTATTCTGGTTCCTTGGATTTGG